GCCATTCTGTTGCTTTATTCGGAGCTAGACTGACAAACCACACACCCCGTACTCAGTTGTTAACTTGTGACCAAATATTTGGTCCGTTTTCCCACCGTGTTATTTTCTCTTTGCTTCATTCAGATATTGTGAACAATTTCGTCACTATGGGTGTTTTTTGTTATTTCGCCGAAAAGAAAATTGTTTCATTGTTGCCGCTGCTTGTCTGCATCTGTGTCGCAGAAATGGCTGTCGGTCAGGTCCGTTATTCTATACCAGAGGAGATGGCGACGGGCTCTGTTGTCGGGAATATAATTCAAGATCTAGGTTTGGATATTAAGCGATTGAAATCTGGGCGTGCTAGGATATTTACCGAGGACGACAGTGAGTACATTGGTCTGAATTCAGAAAAAGGGACTTTAGTAGTGGCTAAAAGGATAGACAGGGAAGAATTATGCAAGCAAGTGTCTCCGTGTTCTCTTCATTTTCAAATAATCCTTGAAAATCCAATGGAGCTACACAGAATCGATGTAGAGATTTTAGATATCAATGACAACGCTCCGTATTTTTCCAAGAAGGAATACAATTTTCAGGTTATTGAATCTGCCTCACCGGGGGCTCGTTATTCGTTAGAGAGTGCCAGTGACCCCGATGTAGCAATGAACACCATTCAAACGTACAAACTCAACCCTTCAGATAATTTCAAACTGAACGTTGTATCTCTTCCCGATGGTACAAAATATATTGAAATGGTTCTTCACACATCGCTTGATAGAGAAAAACAAGAAGAGCATAAATTAACTCTGACAGCATTTGATGGAGGTAATCCTCAAAAATTGGGTTCAGTCAAAATAAACGTCATTGTTCTGGATGCTAACGACAATGCGCCAGTATTCAGCCAGTCCGTTTACAGGGTTACTGTTCCTGAAAACGCACCGAAGGGCGCCGTTATTTTAAGAGTCAGTGCCTCTGATAATGATAAGGGAACAAATGAAGAGATAACATTTTCGTTCTCACAGCATACCAGCAGTGCATCTTCCCTGTTTATTATAGATCCCCACAGCGGAGAAATAAGTGTAACTGGTGTTTTAGATTATGAAAAAGCTAAACATTATGAAATAAATATTGAAGCTACGGACAAAGGGGGGCTTACAGACACAAGCAAGGTGCTAATTGAAGTGACCGACCTAAATGATAATGCCCCTATAATTAGCATCATTTCCCTCTCCAATGCAATACCAGAAGATTCCCCTCTAAATACCGTCATAGCAATGATCAATATTAAAGATTTGGATTCAGGTAAAAATAGTCATGTTAGGTGTTATATTAGCCAAGATTTGCCTTTCAAAATCAAGTCCTCCGCACCTAATTTCTATAGTCTGATATCTGACGATATTTTGGATCGTGAAACAGTACCAGAATATAATATAACTATTACAGCAGTAGATGAGGGTTCCCCGCCTTTTTCCACAAACAAGAGTATTCATTTAAGAATATCGGACGTAAATGACCACGCACCAACGTTCCCGCAACAGTTTTTGACCGCTTTCGTCAATGAAAATAATTCACCTGGTATGTCACTCCTCACCGTCAAAGCCAGCGACATGGACTATGGAAGCAATGCGCGCATTTCTTATTTTCTTGAGGATAGTCAGCTGAATGGGATGTCAGCTTCTGCTTATTTTTCAGTGAATGTAGAGCGGGGGGAGATAGCTGCTGTGCGCTCCTTCGACTATGA